AGGAGAGAGAAAGGGAGAACAGTTTTTGTCTAAGGCTCTGGAGGTAGACTCAAGAGTGTGGCGAATACCAGAAATCTTTCGATAGATAGAAATGCCCTAAAACTGGATTTCTGTGGCAGTTGTACAACATGGTCAACTTACTAACATTCTGTAAGCCATGAACCTAGGTGTGTGTATCTCATAGTGTATGTCACACCCCAGGGAAAGAGTACAAAGTCATAGTTAGAAAAATACAAGATTAAGGTCCCCGAGAGAGACTGGCAGGCAGAGAGGCTCTGGCCTCCTGCGATCTCTGGGCTGGGCTTGGGTGCGGCCTCCTGCGGGTCCTTGATGCAGTTGAGGCAGTGCAGGCCAGATTGGAGCCAGGCCGGGCGGTTGACCCTGGCCAGTGATTGCGGCGCCCCCATTCTGGACGCCCTAGAAGAAAAGAGCTTGGCGCTGTCCTTCTCCTCCGCCTCTGACGCAGAATTTGATGCTGTGGTTAGGTGTTTAGAGGACATTATTATGGATGACGAGTTCCAGTTATTGCAGAGGAACTTCATGGACAAGTACCACCAGGAGTTTGAAGAGAATAAACTCACCTACACCATTTTTAATGAATATATTACCCTGGTAGTATATTGAAGAGCAGCTGCTGGAGCATAGCCCAGGCTTCAAAATGGCAGCTTTCACAAGGATGAAGTAGCTGGTGGCATCTTTGACACGCTGTTCACATTCCCGGATATTCTGGCTTTTAAGGAGATGTTCCTGTACTACCAAGAGCAGAAAAGGAAGGCCGAGGACTGGGCTTAAGCAGCAGCTAGGTGGTGACTTCTCTGTGTAAGCCGTCTTCCACACCAGCTTCCCAGAATAACCTGCGGCACTAGGTCCCACCTTCAGACACGGGTGTGATCACTGTGAGGTCACCAGCCCAGCCGGCTCAGCGAAACATGGGCTAATGACGACAGACACATCAAGTATTGACGAGTCCTGAAAACATGACTGACCCTCCTGACCCTTGTCCAGACATGCCTTGTAGTCGGTCACTTTCGTGTCCAGCCCTCCTGTCCCAATGCAGGCACCTCTCTCAGGTGCTTCTGAGTGACTCCTGGAGCAGGTCCATGTTGGTCACCTCCCCTGGGGCCCCTTCCCAGCGGTGTGGTAGCATAGTGTGTCAGCAGTGTGGACTGCACACCATCATGAGCCCGTCATCTGGTAGGCTTTACATGAGTTCTTGTGCACCCACAACTGTTTTTACACAGGTCAGATTTAGTTCTCAACCTCAATGGGGTTTTGTTTGGGAGTGTTTATCTAGGGAGCTACTGGGTGTAGCTGCCTGTCCTGATTTCTGAATCTCCTGAGAAAGATGTCCTCTACCCACAAGTGAAAAGGAACTCCCGATCCTACATTAGCCGTCCTTTCAACAGCAAACTCTGCTGTTCTTGCTGTAGTCCCACTGTCCCTCTAAGTCTCTAAGCATTGGTTTCAAGAAACATACATTTATAGATGAAAACTCAGGCTAACCTGGTGAGTGTGATCTTGGAACCCCCATGATCAACCACTTAAAAGATCAAAGTATTATATGCCGTGTGCTCTTTAGTTGTGAGTGCTGTGAGTGCAAATCTAACTTAGTGGCCCTCTTCTTGGGTACCAGTGCAAACAGACTGCATGCCAGAAACAGGCTGCAGCTCTGTCTGTCCCACAGCATGCTAAGTGTGTTTGTGCATGCCTGTCTACAGCCCTCCTGTCCCGTCAGTGTGGTGTGCTAGGAGTGTTTGTGCATGCTTGTCTACAGTCCATTGTGTAGGCCAGTCAGCTGGGTTTTCTTTCGGAGTGTAGGGACTCTGCAATGTGTTCCTGTCACAGTCTCTCCTGCCAAGTTGATGCTCCCCTGATCCAGCTCAGCCTGGGGGGAGGGACAGCACACAGTACACAGTTTTTTTGGTCATCTGTCATCTTTGGTGGACTGTCACCAACCAGAAAGCATGTGTGTCACCTCTCTAGAGGGAAGAAAACAGTTCAATTCCTAATGTATACTTTTGACTTTAACTTTTATAGTAAAACTAAGAGTCCACACCAACTTTCCATGTGACTGTTCTGACTTTACAGAATGTAAGCTAAGAGTTGTTTTTCTGTAGCAACGTGTCACTTTGTGCTTTTGTAAAATGAGTAAAATTTGAGGTGTTTGGCAAGGAAAAAGAAAGAAAAATACATGATTAAAATAAAGCAAAATGTGATGCCTTCCAGAGAAAGCTCTTATTGCTTCAGCCCTTAGCTTTTGTCCTCTCCTGCCTGGAATGCAGGCTTGATGCCCAAAGATATTGCAAGTGAATTTTTTAAAGGCCATATTGGTATATAACTAACACACAAAATTGTGTGTATTTAAGGCAAACAACATAATGCTTTTTATATATATACATACTTTGAAATGATTACCACAATCACCTTAATTAATGCCATTTTAACTTAGTTACTATTTTACATAGTGATTCACCATTACTCTCCCCCATGTGCATGTGTACATGTGTGTGTGTGCGTGTGTGCATGTGTGTCCTTGAGTGTTGAGAACACTGAAGCTTTGTTCTATTAGCAAATCCTAAGCACATAAGGCAGCATTACTAATAACGGTCACCATGCTACCCTTAGTTATTCCACAAAGACTCACTGTTTAATGAGTTTTCTCTCCTCACCAGCCCCAGCAGCTAAGGTTCCAATTTGTAATTGCAGTCCCACTGTCACTGCCCTACAGCCTGACTCTGTGAATCTGACTTTTCCAAAGGTCCATGTGCAAAGTGAGATCTCACAGGGTTTGTCCTTCTCAGCTGCGTTATTTCCTTTCTCATTTTGACCTCCCATCTTTTATATCAAAAGTGATAGGATTTACTCCTTCTCCTCTTCCTTTCCTCTCTCCCTTTTCTGCTCCTGTTATCTTTTGGTTGAGTAGAATTTCATGGCACATTTTTTCTTGGCATTCATCATGTCACAAGCGTCTCCCATCCACAAGGGTGACAAGGATGGTGAATGGAGAGCCCTGGAAAGCCTGGCTGCTTGCTAGCTTATTTAGATATAGAGTCTTGCTTTCCCTGGGTGGCTTGCTTGAAACTCACTGTACAGCTCAGGGTGACATTGAGACTGTTTGTCTTCCTGCATGCCAAATGCTGGCATTGTAAGAGTGCACCATCACACACGGCTTAGATAGCAATCCCCTGCCCCCACACACACACACACACACACACACACACACACACACACACACACACACTTCCCGTCTTTTCCTTCTTTGTTTTTTCTTGTAGCACTGGGCATTGGACCCAGGGTATTGTATACATCAGGTGATTACTCTACACTGAGTTCTACTCCCAGCAGAGTAGCAGAGTGAGTCATTGCTTATCTTCATGAGTTCTTGTCTGTTCAGAATTGCCTCTCTCTAGATTTCTAGATATGCAAAAGATTCCTTCATGGTAGCATTTGTTAGGTTTCATCTGTTATGGGAGATAAGAAGTGTATATCCTAAAAGGCTTCCTGCTGCTCCAATTCATTAGCCTGACCCATGGAGCCCTTTGTGATCCAGATATTACCTGCATCTCTATGAAGTTTAATAAGCCACTAAACAATTGCTTTGGAAGCTGATTGTCAGCTTCATCACAAATTTACCCTAAAACACAGTTACTCTAATGTCAGATTCCACTTAAAAGAAATGGACACAAATGCCCATATAAAGACTGGTACCTGAATATTCATAGCAGCATTACTCTTTATGACCAAATGCTGAGCAACCCAGACTGGTGAAAGGGTAAACAGAATATGACAGCTTCACAGAACGGAGCAGGAGGCTGCTATGTGCAGTCATGTCCCACTTGGGAGGGCATGGCAGATTTTTCTCTTTGTGGGTGCACAGAAAGTCTTTCCACAGACACCCCACACCAATGCCCTGCTGCACTGGTCTCACGGCACTGTGTATGACAGTGTCACTAGGACAGTTGACTTTCCACTTTCAGAAAGGCCAGTGGAGGCCCTCAGCCCAGCTACAAGACTGATTTGTCTGTCTCTTCTTTCTCCTCCAGGACGAGGGAGGGGCTGGGCAAAATGATGGGCAGATGGTGAACACTTTTTCTCTTGCTATCATCTTCAACTCACACAGCTGTGGGCAAGGATCCATCAGGCTGATTGCCTATCTAAGGCATTAGGATTGGATTTGAACTTGCTCTGACTTTTAAGTGTTTACGTGGAAGGTGTTGAACGTATCGTTACCTGGCTCACTGGAAAACTTATTCCTAGGCATTTCAAGGAGGTGGGAGGTCACTTTTGAAGGTCAATTGGAATATAAGACACATAAGCTGCTTCTTCTTAATCCTATATTTCCCCTAATCACATCTGGAGCCTGGCACACACCCATGCTTTGCCATGTCTAATATGTGAAAACACCTAACCTAGCCACGAGCACGGACAAATCTCTATTCTGCTTTATACAACATGTCCTCAGTTTTTCAAATATGTATCTTGATTGAGTTTCAATGTCTCTGTCCCAACCTTGACTTTTATTGTTTTGGATGATCTCCTTCTGAGAGCTGAATTTCTGCTTCTTCCAGGAACCCCATGAATCCTCAGCTTGTCCTTCTTCTTGGTACCAGCAGACTTTGCAGCTGGTGCAGCTGGGAAATCTACACCCCCACCCTCAGTGAGGGATAATTATAGCAATTAAAGCTGAGACTAGTATTTCAAGGGATCAGAATTTCCACATTGCCATTAAAAGTGCTGTAATGTGCATTGAAGTTTGAGTGATAAACATTGTTCTTAATGATTTGAATTTTAAGACACTTGACTATCACTACACAAGTCTGAAGAATGGACAGCTAATGGAATCACATTTTTCCAGGGAACTAAAAGGCAGAAAGCATAGTTTAGCTGTTTGGAACAGGATAACAAGATTCTTCTTCTTCTTCTTCTTCTTCTTCTTCTTCTTCTTCTTCTTCTTCTTCTTCTTCTTCTTCTTCTTCTTCTTCCTCTTCTCTTCCTCCTCCTCCTCCTCCTCCTCTTCCTCCTTCTTCTTCTTAATCTGAAGTTAAAATAAGTAAACACACTTGGGATGGTAAAATGGTTCAGTGGCCAAAGACATTTATCACCAAGTCTGATGACCTAAATTCAATCCCTGAAACTGTATTATGAAAGGAGAGAATTGACTCTTTAAAAGCCCTCTGGCCTCTACATGAATGATGTAACATTCATCACACTCCCAATTAGTAAATGTAATAAAAATTAATAAAAGCCTTATGCTGTATATTGAACAAAACACACACAATGGGAAAAACTGAAAATAAATGATTTAATCTCAGATGACAATATGTCTGTATAGGTATCTAGTTCTGATCTAATTCAGTCAGCCAAAGACTGAATTTTCCCAGAGGACATTTGACATTTTATGAACCAGATTCCCTTCAGCTGCCCCTTTTCTCTTTTTGATGGGAAAATGTGGGAGCCCACAGTGACTCAGTTTCCATCTGGAGTCTATTCTGACTTAAAAGTCATTGAGGTCAAGCTTGCTTGTTTCAATCTCCTTGAGATCTATGAGAAAGTTCTGATTAGGTCCATGGGAAAGAACACATTATCTAACAAGCTTCTGATGGCAGCCAAAAGACACACAGAGATAGGGAATGAAACTGCTTGCTGCTAGCAGGACTCACGTGATAGAGAGTGAGCCTGGCTGCTCCTCGACTCAAGGACAGTGCAGGGAGATGGTTAACTGCTTATACTGGTTTTTCTTCTGCTTTGCCTCTAGTCTGTATATAAGCAGGTTCTAAATTCACCTCTGGGTTGTTCGGCATTGACCAGGCAGTCCTCCTGACTCTACCCCATATTTCCTTCTCTGCTTCTTTTATCTGCCGTTCCTCATCCTAGCACCCCATTTCAGGTACCCTAGCAGGTTTTGTTGGAAAAAGAGTCAACCTGTTGGAATCAGTCACTCTGGTCTTCCATGATCTCTAAACTCACCTGTAGGAATCAGTCACTCTGGTCTCCCATGATCCCTAAGCTCACCTGTTGGAATCTGCCACTCTGGTCTCCCATGGCCCATATCCTCACCTGCTGGAACTGGTCACTCTGGTCTTCCATGGCTCCCAGCCTTCGGGACCCCAGGAGCTGAGGATCTCCTCACAAGCATTAAGTTTGTGAACCTGAACAACGGCAAATGAAGAATTAGCAGAGATTTGTGTCTGTTCTAACCAGATCAACAGAAATGATAGCAATGCTTCCATCTAAGAGAAGATAGGAATTTCTTTTAAATATCTCTGTGACTAAGACAGCTGGTTGACCAGAATCCATTTTCTTTTCTATAACATGATGTTTTGGTTAGGGTTTTTATTGCTGTAAAGATACACCATGACCACAGCAACTCTTATAAAGAAAATATTTAATTGGGGTGGCTCACTTACAGTTTCAGAGGTTCAGTCCATTATCATTATGGCAGGACACGGCAGTATGCAGGCTGATGTGGTACTGGAGAGGTAGCTGAGAGCCCTATATCTTACAGGCAACAGGAAGTTGACTGAGACACGGGTCATATCCTGAGCATAGGAAACCTCACAGTCATCTCTCACAATGACACACTTCCTCCAAGGCCATACCTATTCCAATAAAGCCACATGTCCTAATAGTGCCACACTCTATGAAATTATGCAGTCAATTATATTCAAACTACCACATTCCATTCCCTGGACCACATAAGCATGTAACAATATCATAAATGCAAAATGCATTTAGTCCAACATTAAAAGGCCCCAGAACTGCAATTCTATGAGCTGGTGTTGGACTTTGTATTGAGGTCAGCAAATACTAGTCTGGAAGTCCCAGCTGGCTTAGATGTCATGGGATTCTGAAGAGCCTTCAATATGTCTGGAGGTGGGTCTACTCTGCAGTGTTTTCTGCATACATCCCAGTTTTGGCTGCTGAATCTTTTTGTCACAGGACATTTTGAGTAGCTCTGCATCCTGAGGAGCCACTGGGAAAGCCTATTCTCCCCTCGCCTTCTGTTACATCAGCTCTCTGCTCCACCAGTCCCTGAAACCACCAGGCAGTTACTGTCTTCCAACTGCCATCACATTCTGATCTTGGTACCCAGCATGTTCTGTCATTTGACTATTCTCCACCAGGTGTTTAAAAGCTTAGCTCAAAGCACACCCCACTGCAAATGCTTCCACTCTTCCCCTTGTCTTTAACGGGAACCTCTGCTGTTCCTACTGCCTGGGCATTTGATTTCCTTGTCTCCTCTCCAGGTCCCAGAACCTTAACCTCTGGAAGAAAGGCCCTTGTTTAGTTCTCCACCTTAGTCCCAGGACACACACATCAGGAGCACACTAGCTATTCAAGAAGGCCATACTTTCTAAATGTAGAACAAATTAATGCTGATGATGCTTTCTCTACTGTAGCAGAAGCAGTCCGTGCTCCCCTTCCATTTCAGAGCCTCTGGAACGGTTGGACTCAGCATGGGAGGCTCATTGTAGCCAATGGCTTCTGGAGGTCACATATGGAGACTGTGAAAACACACACGGGGAGCATCCGGGGAGCATCCTTCACCATGTGTGGTTGCTGACGAACTGTCTCACATCAAATCACAGACCCAAGAGGCACTAGTGGACTGTTCTTTAATGGGTGCAGTTGCTATAGCATCAGAGATTAGTCTGTCCTAAATACGGCATCACATCAAAGCTCTTAGAATGTGACTCAGGCTGGAATGTTGAAAAAACAGTAGTGTGGGGGATTTAGACAGGAGACTCGAGGGTGCTTTGTGTCCTCTGAATTCTTTCCTGTTAAAGCTGTGAGGTGTGCCTGAAGAGGAGACAAATAATCAGGAGACCCATGAGTACAGGGCAGTCCACCTGTCCCCAGACACCAGTTGTGGCTGTGGCAACAGATTGAGGAATCGGCCCTAGATGCCATGCCAACAATAACTGGTCGAGTTTGTGCTGAGCTGTCTACTTGGATTTCTTAAGTGCAGAAGAAAAAGAATATATGGAAAGTTGAAACCCAAAGCTTCGAGAAGTTTCTAATAAAGTGAATGAAATTTATTGTCTGCAGTGAGCAAACTTGATGGACATTTGCATAATTTGCCCAGGAACCCTAACAAATTCCTCTTGGAGTCACCTTACAGTAGTTGGAGTCCAGGACCATCATTTTAAGAAATAGGAAGATTTCTTCTTCCTGTCTGGAGAATATGAAAACTTAGGGCTTATGTCATAATCTCTTATGGAATTTGTGGAACTTATGGACTATTCAGTCCTGACTTGGTTTCAAATGCAGGAACCTACTCTCAGCTAAAACAGGTTGAGGGAGATTCTGTAAACTACAGACTCAGTGAAAGTAGTGAAAGTTTTACCATGCTAAAGGGATCTCAATGCCAACTGCTTCTTATAAGACAGTTGCCTGCTGCTGCCTTGTCCTTACAGAGACCTGATGTTATACTTTAGGTTTCAGACTGAATTTTCTAGTCATAGTGATTTTGTGAGGCAGATCCCTGATTCTGTAAACACAGTCACACCCAGAGGCTGGGGACAGGTTGATAGCCCTGTCCTAAAGGTTCCTAAGATTGCTAGCCTCTTACATAACAAAGTCCTCTTCTGAGGATTCAGATGGGACATGAATGTCCTCACACCCTGGAATCATTTTGAGATCTCAATACATGTTCACTCAAATTTCTTATATCTCCTTTCTGTCTTAATCCAAAGAAACCACCAACCATGCCTGCACATTGGTTTCAAACCACATCTTCAACAACCTCTCTTTCTTCAGTCAAATTGAGCTTACCCAATACATACATACACACATACATCATACATACATACATACATACATACATACATACATATCCACATAGTGCCTAAGAAAGTTGGGAAAAAAAGTTCCAAGTCGGCTTTTGTGCGTACAAAAGCATGTATCTTTTAAGAGGTCCTGCCAGCAGCAAGCACATGAATGGGGTTTGTGAGTGGGGGGGTGGCATGCTCCTCATTGACAGGAGGCTAGGCAGAAGTGCCTACTGGAGCTAGGGCAGGTAGACCTACTCTATGCTGCGGTCCACAGGCATAAGGCTCCACTCTCATTAATCTGGAGTGGGCAAGGCCAACCACTAAGCCATGTGCTAAGCAGAGACTTGCAGTAGCTGCTTGGCTACTTGGTTATTTAAGGTTTGGCTCACAGGGTCAGAAAAGACTGCAGAAGCATAAAGTCAAGCCCAGACCAAGAAAACATTTAAACAGATGCAAAAAAACAATGCATATCATCACTCTCAGAAAAAAATAGTGTAAAAATAGTAAAGTCTTTAAAAAGAATAAAGTAATACTAAAAAAATAAGCCATGTACAGGTGGGAAATACACAGGGTATCTTGCTCATGTATGGTGCTTTGTTTACTTTGAACTTTTAAAAATGCTAATGTATTAAAAACTATAGCTGCTGGAGACATTGGATTGTGGAAATTAAACCAACCTACATATTCTAAGAATGTCTTAACTTCAAAATGAAAGTCATAAAATATGTTATGTTGGGGGAGAGGTTATACATTTGCTTCCACAGGAAACAAAAATTTATGGTTTTCTTCAAAATCAATGAAGATCAAACTTGATTGGTGAAGAACTCATGCAAAAAGAAAACCAGAAAGCCTATAACACTGGTGATGTATATGCTGATCCCTCTTACATAGGAACACATCTGAGATCGGATGAGACATGATAAATCTTGTTGTCTATAGAGTCCTCATGACTACCTATTATATATTATGGATAGAGATTTATATTAGTTTGGTTATACAGTCCAAACAGACTTATAAAGTTAACAGATGCCTTTTACTTGCTCAAACATGAAACAAAAATTATCTTTAACTGACTTTGTGCACACTGAACATTCTATACTTGTGTTAATGCAGATATATGTTACCGTTACAAATTTATGTGCTTCAAAACTTTAGTCCAAATGGATCAAAGACCTCAATATAAATCCAGACACATTGAACCTCTTAGAAGAGAAAGTAGAGGGTGCCCTCAAATTAATTGGTACAGGAGACCACTTCCTGAACATAACACCAGTAGCACAGACACTGAGATCGACAATTAATAAATAGGACCTCCTGAAACTGAGAAGCTTCTGTAAGAAAAGGACACAATCAACAAGACAAAATGGCAGCCCACAGAATAGGAAAAGATCTTCACCAATCCCACATCTGACAGAGGGCTGATTTCCAAAATATACAAAGAACTCTAGAAGCTAGTCACCAAAACACCAAATAACCCAATTAAAAAGTGCAGAACTAAATAGAGAATTCTCAATAGAGAAATCTAAAATGGCTGGAAGACATTTTAGTGCTCAATACCCTTAGCCATAAGGGAAATGCAAATGAAAACAACTCTGAGATACCATATTACTACTGTCAGAATGGTTAAAATCAAAAACACCAATGACAGTTTATGCTGGAGAGGTTGTGGAGAAAGGGGAACACTCCTCCACTGCTGGTGGGAGGACCCTAAAAGAGACATAAATCAACACATGGAGAAGGGAGAAGATCTCCTGAGCTAATTGGGAGCATGGCAGGGGGAAGGAAGAGGGAGTTAGGAGAAAGACAAGGGGAAAAGAGGAGAGGAGAGGAGGACATGAGAGAGTTGAAAGATCAAGTTAGGGGAAGAATAGAGGAGAACAAGATAAAAGATACCATAGTAGAGGGAGCCATTATAAGTTTAAAGAGAAATCTGGCACTAGGGAAATGTCTAGAGATCTACAAGTTTGACCCCAACTAACAATCTAAGCAATAATTGAGAGACTACTTTAAATGCCCTTCTCTGAACATGAGATTGATGACTACCTTATATGACATCCTAGAGCCTTCATCCAGGAGCTGGTAGAAGCAGAAGCAGACATCCACAGCTAAACACTGAGCTGAACTCTGGAATTCAGCTGCAGAGAGGGTGGAGTGATGAGCAAAGGGTTTAAAACCAGGCTGGAGGAATCCACAGAAATAGCTGACCTGAACAAGGGGAGCTCATGGACCCTAGACTGATAGTTGGGAAATCATCATAGGACTGTTTCAGACCCCCTGAATGTGGATGCCAGTTTGGAGGTCTGGTTAATCTATGCGGCCTCTTGTAATGGATCAGTATTTATCCCTAGTACACAAATGGACTTTGAGAGACCACT